TTGGAGCCTGACACCAGCAGACAGGGAAACATATTGGTGGTGACTGACCACTTTACTAGCTATGCTCAGGCCGATCCCACCAGAGATCAACGGGCCTCCACTGTGGCTAAAGTGTTAGTGGAAAAATTACTCGTCCACTATGGGATGCCTCAGAGAATTCACTCTGATCAAGGCCGAGACTTTGAGAGTAGACTCATCAAGCAACTGTTACAAATCCAGAAGTCCAGGATTACTCCGTATCACCCTCAAGGTGATGCTCAACCAGAACTATTCAATCGTACTCTACTTGATATGCTGGGGACTTTATGCCCTGAAGAGAAAAAACATTGGCATATCTATGCCATTGTTCATGCTTACAACAGTACAGAAAATGTTGCAAATGGGTATTCACCTTATTGGCTGCCTGTAGACTTAGCGTTCGGCCTGTCAGCTGATCAAACCTCTATTGCTACTCACAAAGGCTACATGGAGTGGCTTAGGAGAAACTTAGGGGGTTATTCACAAAGGAGCCGAAGGATCCAGCCGTAGCTTCGTCTGAACCATTCGGCTCTCTTCTGCTGCCGGAGCCCTTCGGTTCAGTCAAACTGAAGGGCTGCTGTACGGGCTATTCAATATAGCTCGTACAGCAGCCAAAGGTGGCCGAGCGGTGCAGCCGAGCCGAAGGCATATGCTTCGGCTCAACTGAGCCAAAGTGTCACCGGAAGCGGGACAAAGGGCTGGCCGTAAGCCCCGCAAATGATCTCACGGCTGGCTCCACCCAGTTGTAATGACAGATCAGCATCCCCAAATGACCTGGGAACGCTGATCTGCCATTAAGCAATAACAACTGGGCGGAGGCGGCCATGACATCACGGCCGGCTCTACCCAGCTGTTATTTATTGGCGGGGACCTGCTAGAAGATTCTAGCAGGTGCCGGGTCAATAGGAAACAGTTACTGCTAGCTGGCCAATTGTTGTTTTTTTTTAAATTCTTTAAAAAAAAAATCCTTTTATATTTTCATTTTAGTAATTATTTGCATTTAAAAAATATTTGTTTAACTTTTTTTTCTTCTTTTTTCTACTTTTTCCACTATTTTCTATTCTGTTCGGTACCACGGAGGTACCGAGCAGAATAGCCAAGCCAAATGCCGCTCGGCGGCATTCGACTATTCACTCACTGCCTATGTGAATGAATAGGGGGAACGACCGCGAGCGTGCTGCTGCAGCTTTTTGGCTCAGCCGATCCTGATGTCGAACTCCTTCTGCACTTCGGCTGACCAAAGTGCAGCCGATGTACGGCTGATTTCAGCCGATGTACGGCTGAAATCAGCCATACTGTGCCGTAGTGAATAGCCGAACGTTGTTCGGCTCGCTTCACTTTGGCTGGGTTATTCACTCGGCTGCTTTCGGAAGCTTTGTGAATGACCCCCTTAGTGTCTGCATATGAGAAGGCCCGTTATTTCGCAGAGGGTAGAGAATAAGAGGAGTTACGACCTGAGAGTGAGAGTACAAAATCTTCAATCAGGAGACGGAGTACTACTGAGAAATCTGGGACCTGCTGCCAGATACAAACTAGCTGACAGATGGTACTCACAAGTTTATATAATTTGCAGACAATTGCCTGGCCTTCCATTGTGTCAGATTCAACCTGAAGGAAAAGCGGAACCTTTAACCACTTCAAGACCTCGTCTTTTTTGCACGTATGTGCCCCCGACGCATGTATGCATGAGTGTATGTATGGGTGACTTAAAATTTTTATTTTATTTTTTAAAATTCTTTTTTATGTGTTACTTACAATTTTTGGGGGTGTGACTTTGCAAGGGTGCGTGTCTGAGCGGACGTCTAGAGACGCCCGCTCAGATCTAGAGAGCTCCTGGCCGGCCGTTTTTTTACTACGGCCGGCCCGGAGGCAGTTAAAGAACTGGCATTGGAATCACTTGTTATCCTGTTATCCTTGAGTGAAGCTGTTCGTATACCTGTCAGAGAAGAACTTTCTGTGCCTGTACCAAATGCTTCCAATAAAGCTCCAGTTACCAGGTCTCAGAGATTATTGACAGAAAGAGAAAGTGAAGGTGACAGTGATGAAGAAGATATGTCTCCGAGCTGGATATGGCCTACTGATTCCCTGAAAGCCACTCAAAGTATCACTGATCTTGAACCATGTTCCAGTGTTTTGAGATCAGAAGCTCCTGAATTCGTACCTCAGGTTTGTCAAGATACCTCTGAGGAAGACTACGGTGCATCCCCTGAAATAACAGGTCCGTGGTTTAATTCGCCAGAGTTAGAGGAAACTGTTATCCAACTGGAAGAGGATAGAATAGATTCTCCTCAGTTTTCATCTCCTCCTGCATATGATGACCCTGATGAAGGTCCATCATGGCTTTTAGAGTCAAGGTCTAAATGACTGGTGCGACCACCGCAGATACTTATGATGCACCTGGTCATAGTACTGAAGAGGCCATAACTACAGTACAAAGATCACCTGAGGTGAATACTTTATTTGCAGAAGTAAGAACTAAATTATGCACAGCACAAGCCATCAACACACCTTGGTGGAGATGATCTTTATCTACCGCTTTTATTATTCAGTGTCGCAAGTTAGGTGTAGCTATACCTAGCTAAATTGTTTTGGTGGATGTTCCATGGACCGATTGTGTCCACCAAAGCGGTTTTCTTGTTTTACCAATTTGCTGTTTCAAATTGCCCTTTTGGAGGGACCCAAAGGTCTCAGTGGGGGGAGAATGTAGCCCCTATATATAAGTTGCTACTGAAATAATCAATATTCTGCTTTGTCAGGGTACCATGCACAGGTGTCCTCACACTGCATGCAGGTAGCCACGCAGGAAGACCAAATTAGTGTGACCACACTAGACAAGATCAATGAGTTGTATACCATTTATTGTAAACAGCACAACTAAACATAATACCCAAAATCAAACCTAAATAAGCATGAATAAGTAAAGTGACACCAACTAAATATTGCCACAACCCTATACAAAGATAACAGAAGCAAATACAAACCCAGGGTATACAAAGCGGGTAAACCTAGGGAGCAGGGCAAGACAAGGGGGGCCAAGGGACAAGGCATAGGGGTACAGGCGGGTAACAGGTATCAGGACTGGAACAACAGGATACTGACCAAGCGGGAACAGGGCTCAGAACTGCAAACACGTATCAGGGCTCAGGGAAGGGCTAGAGGATACTGGGGCTCAGGATTCAGGAACTGGCAACAAGGAAGGGCGACAGGATACTGAGCCACAGTCCTGAAGGCAGGGAGGGATTAAATACCCTCCCAGGAAGCACCAGAGATTGGATGATTGCTGGCAGCTGGGAGACATCCGCAGGTGAGCACCGGAGTTGCAGGTTCCAGCACCACCCAGTGGTGGTCTGGTACCTGACAGTTCCTGGCTGCTGGAGACACCCACAGGCGAGCACAGTAACTGCAGGACCTGGCTTCAACGCTACCTGGAAGATGCTCTGGATCCTGACATGCTTGTAAATAGTTAACTGTCCTTGTGCATCCTGTGAGGTGGAGACTTGTGGGAGTTGCAGTGCAGAGCAGGAGACTGGTGGTGCTGTGTGAGATCTTTCAAACTGCAACTCCCAGCAGGCTGTGTTTTCTCAGAGGAGGGGGATTCTGGGCTGGTATTGCTGAGCGCGCTCAGTCTGGGAGATGCCAGTCGAGAGGACAGATCTGTGTAAGCCTGTCTAGGGGATTTTGATGTGAGAGAGAGAGCTATGTGGCTGCTGCTGACGTAGAGGGGCTCACAGACTCTGTGTGTACTGTGGAGGTGAGTGCAGGCAGATCAAACAGCCTCGAGAGAATCAGAGAGACTTCATCCAGTTCTGTGTTCAGAGATACCAAAACATTTGCTTCAGTGTGGCCCAGTGAAATTGCTACAGAAGGAATATCATGGCCTGGATGAATGGCCGAGCGAGTACCGTGAGTGATTCCAGAAGGCCCAGCAATTCGAGGGCAGCCTGATGGTGTTGACAGGGATAGCTGCAGTGCCTTTTGGTGACCAGAGACCTTCTTCGAGAGACCCCAGATGATTTCAGCATCATCAGAGGTGTCGGCTTGAGAGAAAGGGGATGCCTGTCTCTCGCTGATGGACATCATGTCTTCTGGCTGATCCTAGGAGTGTTGAGAGGCCTTTGGCCATTTGTGATATTTTTCCATTCACATCTGCAATACAGTATGGGCCCCAATGATGGCTAGCCTATTACTAGACTATTGCTACTGGCCAGTAGTATAGAGAGTTAGAGATTATTTGGGACTTCGACATTAGCAATCAAGTTTATCAATTAGCAATTCAAAGTCAAGGATAGCGTCTAAGGTAGTTTAATACTGCATATTTCAGTATACGGAGAGCCGCGATTGCTGAGTGTCAAAATACCCACTGTATATTGCTAAATGTTATTGTGTTTTTTATTGCAATGTTTTACAAATATGCACTAGTTGTTTAGTAAAGCCATTACAAAACTCTCTAAGGTGTGTTGGTGTGCTGTGGATCCTGTTAGGGCTTTACATTTTGGCTTGGGGATAGAAATACCTGGGTTACTTTGGTGGCTCCTTCGGGGGTGAGCAAAATAAATTTTTTGATGCAGTTTGCCTGTGCATTCTTGATTATTCTTTTACTGTATAAAGTTTGGTCCATAGTATTCAAGCAGCAAAGCATGGTGCATCACTACTGATAAATATTTATCATTAAAATTAATTTGGTCTAGACATTTCTTTTTTTATAGAGTAACATATTTATTTATGTTTAGTGTTCATCAATTTGATCCTAATTTACCCACAGCCTATCTGACCATTCTCCACCTAGAATAATAAATTAAATGGTTTGAGTCATGGTCTCCTTTGAATAGGGGCACCTATGAGTACACATGCTGTTGATTATAAATTATCTGTGGCACTGTAAAAATGGATTTAGTGCAGTCACTGAGAAATTACTTAATGATCATTTGTAATCTCTACATATAAAGCTTTACTGCTTCATTCTGTGACGTTATTGTTTTTAGAAAACATTGGAAGGTCAATCTTACGAGGAGATAAACAAGATAGTAAAGCAGAGGGAGATATCAGAGAAACTCACATCATTCAGGAGGAAAAGATTATAGAGATTCCTGCAGCAACCACTACTACCACCTCCACCACCTCTACAACACCTTCTACAACATCCACCAGAACTGAAAGTACCACGACAACAACAACCAAAACTACCACCACTGAACTTGTAGCAACAACACTTTCATCCACAGATCTTGGACCTGAAGCAGGGAACAATAATAAAGGTTAGTGTTTTTGAAAACTTTTTTTGCCTTTTTTTTTAATAAGACAAATAGCAATTTTTATATTGTAGTAACCTAACCGCAACCAATCAGCAACTGTCTTTCTGTTCTGCCTGGTAAAGTGTAACAAGTTATAGATTGCTGACCCTTTGCACTGCCCTGTTGAGTAAGCCTTTGAATGCTACTCTAGATATAATCTGTGAGAAGAGTCAATGATGACAGTGAATGGTTTCACCTATGTTTCCATAAGCTTCATACTATTGTTCCTGCTTTAAAGTACTAAGGAGTGTATGATGGTAATCACACCCACACAAGCTATTAAAGTGGGCCTAGCAAAAGATTTGTTTTTATTCACACTCGTGTACTTTTGGTGCTTATGCAGTACTTGTATGTGTTCAAATATGTCTAAGAATATGAATTTGAGCAAATTCGACTACTTCGGCATTCGACAGAACACCGGAATCTGCGTTTAGTCTGCTGGTGACAGCCTCTCCATCCCTGCGGCACAGCTGCCCATACATGCTGTTTCCAATTATAGCAATATAAGGAGATGATGCTTGCTATTAGTTGCTCTCTCTGTAAGGATTGCTCCTCCGAATGGCAACTGGTAGTTGTTGAGTGGTTCTGGCGTACTGTGCCTTTTAAGGAAGCGAGTCCAGAGTGCCGAGAGCAGGGCTGCGATATCCTGCAACAGGGTCCGGCTGTTTCCCTTTACACCCAGCTTAGCATGCAGATCGAGGTAGAGTACTGGAGATTGTCTGTCTCCAGACAGGGGATCTGACAGGCTGCAGATATCACAGGCAGACTGCCTAGTCTAGTAGGGTAAGAGCCGAGGTACAAGGCGGAGCAGCAGTGAGAGAGGTAGTCAGCCGGGAAATGCTCAGCGCTTTAGGTATACTAAGACACTGAGCATTTCAAATCTCCCGGCTTTATGGGGATGGCTGCGGCGGAACTGAGTCACGCCGAAGGAGTGGGCGGAGCTGAACGCCGCTCCTGAGAACGCGGCCAGGGAAGGATCGGTACTCTCTCGGGGGCCACTCTTCTTCCTTGCTGGCCCCCCCCCCCAAGTGGCGGAACGCCAGGGCCCGGTCGCCATTGCAACCGCTGCGACCCTGGTAGTTCCGCCAGTGATAATAGTTCAGTGAGAAACAGGCAAAGGTAATTAAGGGTTTTCAGAAGTTAGAATAGAATAGAAAGGTTTTAGCTAAGCCATTTTAAAAGCTGAAAATGCTGCTGGTTCTGTTATTTAATAGATTTGTGTATTTTTTAAAAAGCCTTGTGAAAGGGTCCCTCCACCTGCTGTACTTTATGTATTGGCACAGGTTTCCCTGCCCCGCAGTGCTGGGCTTCCATGCTATTTGTTTGGCAATAGCTTGCCCATCAGCCCCCCAAGGGGCAATAGTTCGTTAAAATTTGCCTCCTATTGACTTTATTACAGTTCACCTCAAAATCTACCTGTTTTTTGATTGATTTACTGTACTGAATTTAATTTCTATGTAATCGCTCATCAATGGTAACTACTAAAAAACTTTGTACAATGAACTGCAGTAAAGTCAGTGACACTGAGTGATAGCTGTATGTACCGGCACCGGCGGCTGCCAGTACATTTAGCAGAACTGTGACTGCAGCGGCCTGTGTCCCTTCAAATCCCAGCTGCTCTCCCCAACTGTGTTGGCGGAGGCATCGGGGACACAGACCGCTGCATTCCTCCGCTGCCCCCCGTACCTCCGCTGCTGTCACGGCCGCTTCCTCCTCTTCTCCTAGTCCGTCCGCACCTCCTCTCCCAGTCCGTCCGCTTCTCTTCCCCTGGTCCGTCCGCTCTTCTTCCCTCGGTCCATCCGCCGGTCCGTCCGCTTCTCTTCGC